TTGCACCTTTACCATTTCTAGAACATTTCTATTTTATTTTATCTTTATTTTCTATATTATCTTTGCCAAAGTATTTATTTATATAAATGCTAACACAGTTGAATATTTTGATAAAGATAATATCAATATCTTAGTTTATATTTTTACCATAGCATATATTTATCATGTACGAAAATAATATAACTCAAATATGTATATAATAGTTTTAATTTTGTCTAAGAATTGGTAGACTTGAACCTATATTTTATCAAATAAATAACTTAACCTTTACAAAACAAACCACCATTGCTTTTTTCGCCTGACCTCATACACCTCAGAATTGCACTAATTTGTATACATCTAGGAACTTTAGTATATCATATTGACCCTGTTTATCTAAAGTACCTCCCTATTACTAGTTCTTCATCTTTATCTTTCTCCTGAGGTAGAAATGATATATGACACGTTTGTAGAAAAAGATATCAGATATTTGAAGAGCGATTATCAAACCTGTTTGTTGAAAATAAATATTATATATATCTTGCAACTTTTGACAATAATTGTAGCACCAACCGGATGATTATCATGTCATGAATCTTTTCTAAAAATCACAATCTTAATGTTCACTGGATCAATATATAAAACAGTTTTTCATAAGAAACAATACTTTTATAGGTTATGATATCAGATATTATATTAATTCTATTAAACCATTCTTATATAAGGTTGAACTGATATCTTGTGATTTGACTTGTGAAGTGTTAACTATTATATTATATATTCACAAGCAATCAAATATATTATTAATTAAGTTTAAATTCTTAAATAAATTTATATATTGTATATTATACTTATAGACTACTTTGAATTTTATTAAAAAAATATTTTTAAAAATTAAATATTATAATTATTATTTTTTAAAAATTTTTATAAAGAATGAAGATTAATATTAAATTAAATATAAAAAAATTAAAAAAATTTTTATTTTAATAATCTTAAGACAAATTATTTTGGATATATTATAAAAGTAACAAAAAAAATCAAATTAATTAACTTGTGAATTAATAGTATAATAAATAATACTTCTGAATATTCAAATATATATCTTTAATTCAATATTCACAAAAATCAAATACAAAAATTTTATTTGTCTATAGATTTACTGACTTTTCTATATATGAAGTATTCAAATATTTGAATTTTAACCAAATTTAGTTAGACTGTATAAAAACAAAATCTCTAGTTTTACTAATAATTACAAGTTAAAAACAGATCAAAATAGAAAAGATTGTATAAGATAAGACTTTTGGTCTAATTTTTATAAAAGCTTACAACTCTCTTGATATAGCAGATTCTATAGTATAAAAAACATTCTAGTTTAAGGCTATACCAATCCAACACTTGTTTCAAAGAAGATAACTAAATAAAAAAAAATCTGAAGTCATAAATAATGACAATAAGTTTAATATCTTTTTCAATATTTCAAACAAAAATTATTAAATAGGTTATTTGAATTTTCTAATTAATTCTAAAAAATGCATATTCTTGATAACAATTACTAAAATCTAGATTTGCTCAAAAAGTTTGAATTAAGTAATTTCAGGTATTATAAAATTAGATAGTTTATAAATTAGTAATATTATTTTTATCTTCTAAAGATTTTATTCAAATATATAGATTCATTCTAGCTATAGTAAACTTGTAGAAATAAGACTATAAGTAAAGATACAAATTAACTTAAATAAATCTTATAGGTATATAATTGAATATAAATTATTTAATAAAAGATCTTATACTACATTTGAAAAAAAAATCAAATTGATTATTAAAAATTGACAAAATATTTTTTAATATATAATACTATAGTATTAAAAACTTTAAAAAATATATTGGCTTGCTAAAAAAAAATAACAATGTTATAAAATATTTATTATTAAATTATATTAAAATAAAATACCTATTTTTATTATTTACTAATATAGAAAATAATTTTATTTTTTTTAAAATTTATATTTAATTTTTTTATTTTAGTAATTGAAGTCTTATTCAATAAACTTTTATTATAAAAAACTTTATATATAATAATATAATACAAATTATATAAAATAAGATGTTTAATCAATTCCATGGTACAGCAATGACACTATTTTAACCGAATATAGCTATCTGGTCTTAACTGAAAAGAGCTTTATCAAAAAGTGTGGACTTCTTGCAATAAAACTCCAATCCTTAATCCTAGAGTATTTAACTGAGAAAAGGCCATGTAACAGTACTTTGACTGAAGGTTGAAAGTGTATCCCATAATCAGCCAGGTGATCCTTCTATAGTCACCATCTAACATACTGAAGCCTACTGAGCGAGGATAAGGCATGTTAAAGAAGAAAATCAGTAAACAGAAAAGGTTCTATGTATAAAGCTTTGCATTGGCTGAGTTCTGGTCCTGCCTGAGATATAGAATCAGAAGTATGCATCTGAACAAACACTCTTATATGGAGTTTAACTCTGTTACCACCTCACACATTCGAGGAAATTTATCATGAAGTTATTTTCTCATCTCAATCTCCAACTTCTATTCACATCAAAAACCATGACCAGCTTACTCCCTTCAAAAGATCAACGTAAGATGATCATGCCATATTGGGAACAAGGCCTCTAATATGGATAGATCCACAGGCCGTACTATAACAACAAATTGGTTCCCGGGTCCAGCAATTATTAAAACTGATTCTCCTAATTACACCAATTCCTATTCATAGTAAATCACCTAGTGAGCGCATATACTGGTTATAAAATATCTAGTAGCTAGCTTTTATTTACCTTTTTCTCTTTCCTCACGAGGGTTTTTAGAGTTTGTATATGCCACCTTAATTGCAATAGGCTAGGATTATTCTATACAGTTGGTAGAAAGATTCTTAATATACTGGCTCAAACAAATTACTTGTTTAATAAAGTTTTGCATTTAATGCCCATTTGCAAAAAAAAAAAAAAACAATGAAATTATATTAAATGAAAATAATAGTTATAAAGATATCTATATTAATATAAATATAAATAATTTTAAATGAATTAATTAATTATTAAAAACTTGATTTTTTAAAATCACAATATTTAATTTGTTTAATAAATTAAAAAAGTATATTGTTAATTATTATTAAATATTATTATTAACTAAATATAAATTATATTAATACTTTTTAAATAAAATATTATATTAATTTTAACTTTAATTTTGATACTTTTAGTTTGATATTAATGTTTTAAATTTTTATATCAAAAATTTTCAATATCAGTTTTACAAAATACCAGATTAAATAATATTGATTAAAATCTTATATCTTAATTAAAAGTAAAAAAAATAAAAAAATTATAATATAAAATTTATAATATAATTAATTATTAAAAAATTTAATTGATTTTTAATAAGAATAATTAAAAAATAAAAATGTCTAAGTTGTAAATATAAATAAAAAATACTTTAGAAAACAAGTTTATAAGAATAGAACTTAAGTATTTTCAATCTGATAATAATTTAAAACAATAATATTTTAATTGAAAAGATAATTTCAAGAACAGTTTATTTTAGAAAAAGAAATAACAATTAAAATAAATAGCTATAAATTAATTTTCTAATGTGATTTTAAAATATTATTATTACAATAGAAATTAAACAGTATAACTAATTGCAAATAATAAAATGTATAATAAAAATTATAAGAAACTTAATACTTTAATTTTACTAAAAAAAACTTTCAATAATAAATAAAATAAATAATAGCCTTTTTTTTTTACATATGCATATTTATACAATTTTATATTTCTTTTTTCTTTTTTTTCTCTTTGTAATTTCTATAAAAAAAGATGATACAATCTGGATAATATTGTAAAAATAATGTTATATATAACCTTATAAGATATCTGAATTTTAATTCTACTTGATTGGCAAGTAACTTATTACCCATAAATTATATCTAAAGAGCTTGTGCTGTTAACAGGTGACAAATCAATTAAAAAATTTTTTTAAAAAATCCTTAGATTACTTATATTCAATACAAAGAATTTGTATTAAAATTTTAAAAACTTTTACCAAAATAACAAAATAATAACATCTTGTTGACCTTTGTGTATCTTTTTTATTTCAGTATAAAAAAATGCATATCTATATCGATAAATTATATGGGTAATTATTTTTGAAGGCGTCAAAAATGCTAGATATGATTTTTTCGGACCCAGCTTTTAAACAATACATATATAATATAAATTTTAGGATCACACCAGAAAATTTCCGGTCCACCTTCGAAAATAATTACCCATATATTGAATTTTATAATTCGATTTGTAAATAAAAATTCAAATTGTAATTTTATTAGAGGTAGGGATCTTATTATTCTTAACTATCCATGGATGATTCATAACATCTTTTAGAGGCAAGCGTTTTTTAGGGTCGCGTTGTAGTAACTAATCACACGATTAATGTAAGTATGATAATAACGCGGATTCACACAAACAGAAACTAGAAATTACCGATTTAATTAAATCTTTCGCCTCGAATGACAAATAATCAGGAAACGTAAAATCAACTGTTGCTATTCTTCGATACGTTTCTGAATGTCCGCCTTCTGTTTCGAATGGAGCTGTTCCAGTTAGAAGCTCAAAACATAAAACGCCAAGTGACCAAATATCAATCTTTTCATCGTGGTCTTCATCATCCACCATCTCTGGTGGGATGTAGTCCAAGGTACCACAAAACGTTTTACGTCTAAATTTGGTATACAATTATTAGTTATACCAATATTGCTGTAATATAAAACTTTAGTGAATCCGTACTCACTTATGACTTGGTGCATGCACTGACCATCCAAAATCCGCAATTTTAAGCACATCACCCATTCCTAATAACAAATTCTCCGGTTTTATATCTCGATGAATGACATGTTTCTTATGAATATAACTTAAAGCATCAGTCATTTGATAAATATACTAATATTTCAGTGGAAAATCAATTTAGTGAATTTATTTTGGAATGTATAAAATATTAAATACATAAAAAAACATCACCTTTGACGCGCGTTTTTCTGAAAATCTTCCACTCTTTCGTAGGTGATAATAAAGTTCTCCTTTTTTTGCATACTCGAGAATTAATACAACCCTCGCTTCGTCGTGAAAATGCCCATAAAGACGTAGAATGTTGGGATGTCTTACAAGAGTTTTTTTGGTTATTATTATATCATACAAAAGCATCAATTTCAAGTCAATTTACCTCAAGTTAGTTTGAATTTCCACTTCTCTTCTTAATTGTTTTTCGGTATGTGATTTAATAATTTCTTTTATGGTCAAAACCTTCAAGGCGACTATATAACCGCTTGTTTTTTCTCTGGCCACAAAAACACAACCAAATTGTCCTTTCCCGAGAGGGTGTCCAATGTCAAAATTCCTTAAAGTCCATTGGCGTGGCGCGCTTATATTGTTCAACAATTAGCATTTTAATTATAACATATATTTTTGTAAAACCTTACTTACATATAAATGGGATTTCCTAAACTAGTCTCCTTTTTTACATCCTCGACTTTTCTTTTACTCGCATCGTTGAAGACCTTTTCCTTTTGTGTGGATTCTATTAATTTACGATGAGGAAATGCCGGAATATTATTTTCTTTATTACATAATTCCTGATTGACTTTGAGTAAACTGTATTTCTACATTCGAACAAAATTAGTGATTTCATATCATTAAAAAATCATATCTAAACAATGTAGTTTATTTTTATTTTTGATAAAAACCTGTGTATTTTTATTTGCAAAGGGATAACGATTTATAGACTTTTTGTTATTCATCTTGCTTCCGAATTCTGAATAAGTAAATAACGTTTGGCGCTTCGACACGTATGACGTTTAAATAAGCTATCGAGGTTGTACAAATAACTGATCTATAGTAAGAATGTTTATTAAAAAAAGAAATTATTTGAATTATTTAATCTATGTAAAGTATGAAACTTTGCATTTTTTCCTATGGTTAATAGGAAGTAGAGAAAAGGTTTTGTTAAGTCAGACGCAATTAAAAATAAAGAATTTAACAATTGAATCAAATTATATTTTTTTATAGTTAATACAATTATTTTGACACAATTATTTTTTCAATTCTTTAAAATTAATATATTAATTATAAATATTACTTTACTATTTAATGCAAAATTTAATTTTTTTTCAAATAAATATTTAATTATATAAATTTGTTAAAAAATAATAAAGTTTTATTAGAAACAAAAGTAATGTTTAATTTTAATTTTAAAATTAATTAATATATTAATTACAAATATTATTTTATTATATGATGCAAAATTTAATTAGATAATAATATTTTTAAAAAACTTTAATACAATTTTATTCATTAAATATTATTATTATATTTTAAAATAAATATGTTAAACTTTTTATGTAACTTGAAAACTAACCTATAAAAAGTAGTTGCAATATTTCTATATATAAGAATATTTGATTTTTTTTCATATTCTACCTACTATATATCAAGTCAACTTTGAAAAACAAGTATATTAAATTTTATTTATAACTTGAAAGCAAATCTATATATTTGACTATAATATTTTTATATGATTGAATATTATAAATTTTATCAAGTATTGCTTAAAATTTAATACAGATTTTGATAAAATTTAATTATTTAAGTAGTTAGTAAAAAAAACTAGAATAAGTAGACCAATTTTAAGTCTTATATTAATATATATATATATTTATTTATTTAAGGATTAAATTGTGATATACATATTAGTTTTATTAATAAATTAATTATAATTACAATTGTCTATACATAAACAGTTTATTAACTATTACTAATATTAATTTATATTATTAGTCTTTTTTATCAGAATATCATCTTATATCCAAGAGATAAATCAATATCTTGGCTTTTATTACTATAAGATAGTCCTACTAACTACCTATATAAGTAGTACCTATTACCTTACAGTTTTCTGCTATATAGCTGCATATAAAGCAATAAATATCTTTTAATACAAATATGTACTTTCTAGTAAATATATCAGTTTTATTACTAGTTGATATTAATTACTAAATTTGAAGGATATTTTGATTAAGTAAAATATGACTTCTTAAAAAATCTGTTTTTTAAACTTCTAGTAAACACTTCATTTGGGCCAATTAGCATAAGTTATCAAATCTAGAGATATTAATATCAAATAGAGTACAACTTTTATATACTCTGTCTTACTATATAATTATTATATCAAGAACATAAGTAATAACAGTCCAGTATTTATCTTCAAGATCTTTTTTTTGATAATTAAATCTAATTATTATAAATTACTTTTAATAATTATTATATCTTAACTAGATAATTGTTACTCTGCTATATCTTTTTTGAAAATCCTAATCTTAATATTTATTGGATTAACATATAAAACAGTTTTACATAAGAAATAATACTTATTAACAGGTTATAGTACCAGTTATTATATAAGTTCTATTTAATTACCTTTACTTGAAATTAAATTGATATCTTATAATTTGATCTGTGAAATATTAACTATTGTAGTTTTCACATTTGTAATATTGTTAATTAATAATTTTTTATAAATAATTAAAACTTTGAAAAATATCAAATTAATATTAAACTAATATTAAAATAGTATCAATTTATAATAAATCTAATATATACATCAGGAAATTTTTTTGGTGGAGATTTCCAGAAATCTCCACTTAAAAAAAATTTTCAAAAATTTTTGGAGAAATCTTCGAAAATCTTCAAAGGTTTTTAAAAATTTTTAATATAGAATTTTTTAAAATAAAAAAACTCTGGAAATTTTTATTTCAAAAAAATTTAAATTTCTTCGAAG